ACCTGCCTGAATGTGCCAGCTGGGCTCTGGTCCTAGACTGTCACTCCAGCCTATTTGCAATTGGTGTCACCACCTCTCTGTTGCTCCTGTTGCTTTTCTGAAGCCGCTAATTTGGCGAGAGCATTACACAGCATCCCGCTGGGCTTCAGAAAGAAAAGGCCAAGTGCAGCCAGAGTGCTGTGAATGCAGACTTCATTTTTTCTCTTTTAAAGAGCAGTTCTCAACCTCAAATGGTCATTGAATGGTGCCTAAGGCCTCTCCTGCAACCATTTGCCTGTTGCTTTTGGATGCAGCATGAGAATTTACTCCAGACCTTGCAGCTGGCTTTCAAAGCTGGAGTGTGTCACCCTTAGGGATGTGGGCAGCCTCGTAATGAGGTGAGGGAGGGAGACAGTTTGCATTGTATGGCATTCCCCCATCTTTCTAGAGGAAGTTCTGAAAGTGCCTCAGCTGCAATGAGCAGACCAGATGCTGATCTCTAGCTGTACTCTTGAAAGCAGGGGAGGGGTGATCTTCCTGACCAAAACCAGAGGGAGCCAATGCTCTTTACAGAGAGTTGCCCTAGAGCAACAGGCAGAACCAGGCTTGTGTTTCAGTTATGCTGCCTGCTCTTCTGCTTCACTTTCCTCCAGGCCTTCGAGCCCCAGCAACTCAAACTGGAGATAAGGGAGTGAAGAGTGAGCCCTCGTTCTGTATTTGGTTAATATTTGCATCTAAAGACTGCTGTTGGTTAGTGTTTTCAGAGGCAATGGTAGTTTTCAAGGCTATTACAAATTTCTCAGTCCAGGTAAAATACTGATGCATCCTCGAAAGAGGAGCAGTAGTTGGACCCAAGGTGGTGGACAGGTTCTTACCTCCATGTTGCCCATTGCTTCTGCTGTCTTATGCCTATTTGGTCCTTCATTCATTCTGCTGGGTTTTTGCAGTGTCTGAGAACAAAGCCTTGTGCCACCCCTCTTCTGTGGATTCTCTCTCAACCAGTGCTGCTACAGAGGATCACGTGTCCATGGGAGGATGGGCTGCAAGAAAAGCTTTGAGAGTTATTGAACATGTGGAACAAGGTAAAATTAAATTCTGATTTCCAGACAGACCTCGAATCATGAAAATGAGGGGCTAATACCACTAATGATCAGGTGTAAGGTAGGCAGATACAATGCAAACTTCTCCAGATGGAAGACTCCCTTCCAAAGCACTGTCATTTTCCTGGTGTTTTCATGTGAGGTCTGGCATGCTTCAGAGGGAGAACTTTAATTTTTAGCTCAGGCTCCTCTTTTCTAAAGAAGATTTAGCACTTTTCTAAAGTGCTAAATAAGATTTATGATTTATGATGGACATTAATTTGAGTATTCAAGTTACCCTGGAAGAGATTCCTAGGGATTTAAGACTCTGGTGACCAGAAGTTCCTGGTGCACTTGAAAGGTCTGAACAACAGCACCCAAAATCTGCTTGCTGGGGCTGGCACTGCCCCCAGCATCACCCATGAAATGATCCTGCCACTGGGCTGGCTCCCTGAGGGGTGTGGATCCACTGGTTTTTCACATTGCCTGAACCATATCGTATGAGAACAAAGGCCAGGGGGAGCTTTAGACAGGAAACCTCACCTTGAGCTGTACCTGCCAAACATCCCCTTGGCTGCTCTGGTTTCCTAGTTCTGGCCATTGAGCTGCTCGCCGCCTGCCAGGGCATTGAATTCCTCCGCCCTCTGAGAACGACAACCCCATTGGAGAAGGTCTACGACCTTGTGCGCTCCGTGGTGAGGTAAGAGCAGACAAACACATTCCCCGGAGGCTGCCTGCCTGGAGAGCAGCTGCTGGCAGTGGGGGTTAATGTTTGCCCAATGTCTCATTACAGGCCCTGGATAAAGGATCGCTTCATGGCCCCAGACATTGAAGCAGCTCACAGGCTGCTCGTGGAGCAGAAGGTGAGTGCTGTCTTTTGGCTTCTGTGTAGGATTGTCTAGAACCCTTTTTCTTTGTCCACGCCATCTACTGTTTTTGCTGCCCAATCCTCTTCATGGTCAAGTAGTTTTGCAGCAAGTGGCAGTGACCCTCTCCCAACTATTGCACAGAGAGCATTAGCCTGGTAACAAGGCAAGACAAAGTATTGTTGCCTTGAATCCTTGCACCTTGTCCCCTTGGAGCTGTTATCCTTTCCCATCCATTGTCAACTCCCTCCACATGCTCTTCCCTAAACCTTGCTCTATCTGCCTCTCTGGTTCTGCTTGTCCCATACAGCATATCCCACCCAATAACTTTTCTTCAGGGTTTTCTGAACTCATTTAGAAGTATGCATTGATGTCTTAGCTGACCTTTTCTTTGCCTCTGACTCTGCTGTTTCACATTCTTGCTTGGCAGGTGTGGGAAGTGGCTAAACCTTACATTGAAAAGTACAGGAGGGAACACATCCCTGAATCAAGACCCATTTCACCTACAGCTTTCTCCCTGGGATCGCTGAGAATGAGTGCAGATGACAGTCATGACCACAGGCATCAGAATGAACTTTGAGTTGTGATCCTCTGGAAGAGAGCAGATCCTTTCCAGAGCCTTACCTGAGTATGGCCATTCTACTCATGCTCAATGTGGCTTCTCCAGGCGACCTAGAGGACCTGTCTAGCTCAGAAGCACAAATAGATAGTAAAGAAAAGTCTCACTGCTTTCCTCATGTGTAAAAGACAATTTTGTCGTGACAGTGTGGTTTTGACTGAATTTCATGAACTTCTGAATACAAATCATTCAGACTCCTGATGAAACCAGTATTTGTTTTGTCAACATTTTGTTTGTTTTCTCTCCATCTGTGCCAATGATACCAAACAGCCTAAATTTGATATTCTTACCTTTTTTCTCCCCCTTTGGGTAACTGCTGTGATCCCCTTCATTTTGCCACAAGCAAGATTATCTTTACACTTAGTATAACAGGAGCATTTTTACAGCAGGTGCTTCACTAATCAGGAAAGCTGTGTGCACAGGAGTGTGCTATGGAGATCATTGCTCCAGAACAAATATTTTATGTTCTGGTGATGGACTACATTTAATGCAAGAGCTATGGGCTCACACCTGCGATCAATAAACTGAGGCTTCACATACGGTTGTAGCAATCTATTTTCCTCTCATGTGTGAGATGATGAAAATGTAAAGCAAAAGCTTAATTTGGAAGTAAGTAGGACAGGTGACACAGGGGCCAGAAAAGGGGGAAGAGGGGATGTAGGACTAGTGCACGTGAACCAGTGTTGAGGCAACAGCACCAAGACCCACACTCCCATGGCTCTCCAGGTCTCTGCCTGTCTGCCAGGGGCCCTGTCCCCACAGATGGGATCATGAGTGAGTGTGCTCTGTGTCACAGCACTGACCTCTGGCACAGGCTTTATTTTGCAAGGAAAGAGTCAGGACATGGATTTCACCTGATGGTGCAGTGGTGACAGGGCAGTACTGATCTGCCTGAGGGGCATTCAGCACAAGCTGAAATCCTCCCCAGGCTGTTGGCTACGCTGCAAGGGGCAGCGAAAGCACCAGTGTGGGGCTGCCTTTGAGTGTCTGACACCTGCCATGTTAAAGGTGCCCTGAGGAGAAGGCTCATGCCTGCTGGCAACCTAGCAGGTTGCCAAATGCACAAGGCAATGCCTTGGGCATTCAGAGAATAGATTCTGGGCCCTGCTTCCCACTCACTTCTGCTTTTGGCTGCCTGGGACCAAGGGATCCCCGGCACACACTGCAGCACTCTGGACTCAGGTTTTGCACCGTGCCTGTGCAGAGCTGAGAGGCCTGCACCCTGCTTTTAAGAAATGCCTGTGCTCCTTCCCTGACAGCCTTCCCAAATCCCTGTATAAACATTATTTATGAAGGCTGTCTTGGGCAGAATGGACTGTGCAATCACATACTTGGGATGTTCTTTCAAGCTTCATAGAAACAAAGTTCCACACCCACATCTGGTAAAACATCTGCTTGCAGGAAAACACGTCAGGTGGCAGGAATGCTATTACATTGTTTTAAAAACTGATTTGGTTGGCTAGCCTGGATCAAATAAAGCATGAAGAAAGATACTACAGGGTATGGCTTGCAGATTTTGGGAGTTAACAGATGTGCTCAAGGCTCAGGGAGATCAGAAGGTCATAATAATGCTCATACATGTTCGTGATGGCTTTCAAATATCTGTTAATCAGAATGAGAGCATTGTCCTTCCTCAAGGGTCTGGTTCACTACAGCACTCTGCTCTATATCACAGGTTATGTCACTTGCTTATATCAAAAACTATTTTTGATGTGAAGTTCTTCAGGTGCTTGTCAGGTGCAATTTTATGACTTCACCTTCAGAAAGTAAATCCCTTTTGCTTCTGCAGCCACCATCCACTTGAAAATTTGAAGAAAAGACAGTCCATGGGTATTCAGAGACCCTCCTACCCCAGACCCTCTGCTTAAATACTGCAAAAGCTTAAATTCTCCTGAGCTGTATCATCCTTTTTTTCTACATACTGCATTCCTAAATGATGTTACAAGCCGGGGGGGCGGGGGGGGGAAAGCAGTAGTTGAAAGATAAATGAAAGAGCACTTTTTAAAAGTTAGGCTCCTAAGTTTCAACATGGCTTTGAGTAAAAGTTATCATACTTAATTTATCAGGATCACATTCAAACTTCCACAAGCAAATGTATCTCATGTTATTTCAGATTCAACCTAGAATAAACAAAATTAGGTCTTTTCTGGAACATCTGTATGACACTGCATGTGATCTTCTCCCTACACAGCCAAGGGCCATCCCAAATGTGCATGCCTGAGCCCCTGACCCTCTGTCACAGGTCACTTAACATCACACTACCCAGTAAATCTTACCTGGATCCAAACTGTTTAGTCATTGCCAGTTTGTTTGGGTTACTTTCAAATATTATAATATTATAGATTAATTGTACAGCAAAACATATTTGGAAACTGTCTTATTTAAGATGGATACAATTAGAAATTATTTTATTGTGCTGGAGAGAAGGACAATGGACATGGAGATACACCAAATGGGTAATGCTTGGTAAGGTTTATTTGAATAAGAGTAAGGTGAGCAGGCAAACAATTTACCAGTAAATACAAATCTGATTTGTCTGTTGCTTTGAAATACTCCATGCTAATTTGATTTTAGTAGCTCACTAAACTACTTCCTTCTCTCAGTAACTGCCCACTGTCTCACACCTCTCATTTTCATAGATGACTTTTCCTTTAACTATAACGTAGTTGATCAGTGATTCATGTCCACCAAACTGGTAAATCAAGTGCTCCCACCTAAAAAGATAAGATGTTTAAGAAAATTTAAACTTGCATAAGAGCAGGTCACATGCCCAGCACACCTGGCAATTTTATAAGATTTGCTTGAAAAGGGGAAAACACTATTCCACATCTACATGTTGTCTCTTGCTGCATGAATACAGCGAGTCTATCAGTAGAGAATTTATTCCACAAAATAAATACATATTATCTCTAGGTAATTTGTAGTTAGGCATGGATTACTTGTAATAACAGCCCCAAAAGTCTTAGGCTTTATTTTCCACTGGAGTAATTAAGGAAAATGAAAGTGGGTCTGAAATGTTACCAGTGTCCCTTTATTCAGTGAAGTTAACTAAGGCTAAAGCACATTTCAAATGCCAATGGAAGAACAAACCTTGATGAGTTTATGACAAGAAGATCCCCCTGCTTGCCGACCTCCAAGGAGCCATGTGTGTCTGATTTGCCCAGAGCATAAGCTGCATTAATGGTGGCAGCTGCCAGTGCTTCATTCATTGACATCTTCATGTTTACACAGGCCAGATGCATCACCATAGGCTAGTAGGCAAGGAAGGGGACAATGGGAGTTACCAGGAACACAAAGCTGTTTATGCTTCAAATCCCTAAGCACTCTCCTTTTTCCTTGCACAACAGAAGGAGCTGTTTTGTACAACATAAATTTTGCCAAATCCAAAACGAGAACTCTAAAATCAGTAGCTTTGAGAGCATTTTGCACAGGTCTCTCAGTGCATATGAAGGATGGAACCCATTCTGGTTTCAAGAATTTCTGGCAAAAACTACCAGTCCACACAAACAAACACAGACAGCTGTCTGCATGGGGCAGGCAGCTCCCCTTGTGCACTTGAAACCACTTTGAAGTGTGCAAGACCTATACACAAGTTGTACTAGTAAGAACTTCATAATTCTATGCTTTCAGTATGAGGATTATCTTACCATTGAAAAACAGTATGCATTAGGATTAAAGTCACTGCCAAGAGCAACTATAACACCTTCTTCCAACATTTTTCTAGCTTGAGGTTGCTTCAGTCTAGTGGGAAAAATAAATTTATCAGTACAATTTGCTTAGTTATCATACAATGATTTACAAAGGCAAAAGTCATCTCTCAGTTTGGCTGCATTCATGCATTCAGTTACAATGATCCTTATGGTGATGAAAACCCTAATTCTCCTCTTGCATCCCTACCTATCATCCTATAGACAACATAAATGGAAAGTGTGAGACACCACTTTTGCAGCAACTGCATGTAGCACCAGCCAGTGTCAACCATCAGGTTCCAAACCACTGAAATTCTGGTATTTACCCAGACCTCAGTCACTTAAGAATTTACAAGATAAAAATCTTCATTTCTGAAAAATACTAATTTTCTAGTTCTTACAGCTACAAAGACAGGATCAAAAATACGAGCAGTGGCACACGCAATGCAATAGCCCCTTTCCTGATTTTTGAGTCTGTGAGCTTAGTCTGCATACATTAGATATCTTTTCACTTAGCAATTATAATGCAAAAGATGTTTTCAATAACTTCAGTATCTGGAAGAGCCATTTCAAAATTGTTCAGCCCTTGGATTAATCTGTGTAGGTGTTTGCAGGGTGGGCACTTGGAAATACACTCTCTAGGAAGTTTTAGCCATAGTTGCCGTAAAGCCACCCTGAATCTACTGTGAGACTTCTCAGCACTCTCACAGATTTTTGAGGATTTCTGGCAGAAATAAGACACAAGGAGGGAGGCTCATCCAGTTCTCAGTACGTGTGACTGCCTTCACTGACCCAGACTGACCCTTAAGGCATAGATACACACTTATGCTTTTAGATTAAAAGTCCCTCAAAGCACACACATGGATTTGCAGTTTCAGAAGTTTCCCTTCATCTAGTGCCTTACCTTAGCATGTAGGCTGTTGTTGGCAGAAGGACAGCAGCACACTTAGCTCTTGCCATCGCCACAATACCTTCATCACTAACTTCTTCCAGGTGGCTGATGGCCCGGGCTCCCAGCTCAGCTCCAAGCTGAGGAAATTTTCAAGAAAATTACTCACTATTCTCAATTAATTCAGTTAAAAAGTTGTTTCTAAACAACTGGAAGAAACAATTCACTATTAATGCAAAATATACCAGAAGAGAAATAGCAAAGAATGCTTGAAAGAATAATCAGACTACAGAGACAAAGTATTTGTTCATTTACTGCAGGAAAAGCTGATCACTTTATCCACCCATGAAGCAGAAGCACACCTTCAGTGGTGTTTTTAACAGCCTAACACACAAATTATGTGAGAGCCATGGATGAAAACATTATCAACTCCTGCTCATAAAGAATCCATCAGAAAATAGTTCACAAAACTGAATGCTGCCTTCAATGGGGAAGTCAAAAATCAACCAAGTTTTTGGTTTGGTTTGGTTTGTTTGGTTTTTTTTATATACAGCTTGGGCAGACCCCTAGGCTTTTATAATCAACCAAGTTTTTGGTTTGGTTGGTTTTTTTATATACAGCTTGGGCAGACCCCACATGAAGGAAGCAATATTTAAATGATGGTGAAATATGGTGTCAAAGGGACTTTCTTTATCAAGATATTTGGGAACCTAGTCTTGACTAAACCACCTATTTTTCAAGTTGCACAGAAACCATGTTTTTGTCATCCTTGGGTGCATGGATATCCACCTTCCCGATCTGCATCCCATGTGGAAGATAAGCAAAGTCAATGTTTGGTTAGTCAGTGCACGTTAGTCCCAGAGGTCAAGGCTTCCTCCCATGTCCTCACCTCCAAAGCTGCACATGGACTGCTCTTCCTGGCATCTGCTTCTATCAGATGGTCTATTGCATGAAGTCTTAGAAAAGACAACCTCAGTTTTGAAAACTGCAATTCTTTGGGCTCTCACAGGATTGGGCTCTCACAGGAGCAAAAAGTAATGTTAAGAAAGACGTACCTCAGCAGATTTCATCGGATGCAGTTCATCACCATGGAAGTTAATCTGTAACCCTATATCCTTTCCAGCTTGAAGTATTCTCCTTGTAGACTCCAGATCAAAGACTCCCTTCTCACAGAACACATCTATATTGTTAATGTGTATCTCACCACTCAGTTTGAGTTCTTTCAGTTTAGGAAGGTGGTTATTGATAATGTCATCTGTGGCTTCAGCAGCAGTTTTCCCCCTAACGAAAAGAAATGTTACAGAGCCCTATAAGTAACATCCTTGAAGTCTGGCACACTCAAGCCATACATGCAATTACTGAATTACTTAGGAAATGATGTAAACATGAATCCCTCAAAAAAACCTTCAAATTAAAAAAATAAGCCCCATTGTAATTCATGTACTCTCCAACATGAGTTACTTTCCATTCAAAGAATATTAGATTGTATTACTAAATGATTTTAATAAGGTTGGCATCTTGGATGCTAACAAAGATATGGGATACTTTAAAACAAATTTTTCTGCTTTCTTATTCATATATTCTGATCTCTTCATACTGTATCCTAAAATGTAAGTATTTAAAATACATAAGTAAGCATCTGAATATGTTAAATGGTATTCATACAATATTTTTATGCAAGTATCAAAGCTCAAAGGGGATATGCAGTATAAGTCATTATTATTCATTCACCTCTCCTCCTTTTACATCATTCAGAGTGATGGACAGATAACTGTTTCTAATCAGAGGGGCTACCCAAGGTTTGATTTGCCAAAGTCAGAACCATTTATGAATCCTCTATTACATAAAGATAACCTAGGAGAGATCACTAAATGCCTTAGAAAGAGCAAATAATCCCAAAACATGCAGTTGAGTTAGCATTCTCCAATTTTAATGTCTAAGGACGAGGGATGTACAGCAGGTAAATGCCAGAGAATCTGAATGCTCATTTCAGGCACTGTAAGGCATGCAGACACTGGCACTACGGAGTGCCACACGAGGCTGAGTCAGGAACCATGCAATGGAGTCAATTCAAGAAGCCAAATTCTGCCTGAATTTATAAACCAGGTTATAAAACAGAGCGCCTCTACCATTCCCTTTTCACTGAAGCAGGCATCAGGGTTGCTCAGCCTCTGACCCTGCCAAGGCTTCTCCCTTTTCTCTTTCTACTCAGCAGCCTTTGGAGGAATTCAGGCTGAAAGATTAGGGCCAGAGCCAAGACAAAACAGAGGGAAACACTAAGAAATGGTTTCACTTTTTGAGGGATATAATGCCCCAAAATGCAAAACAAAACTGCTGTTGTTTTAATGCAGAAGATTTCTATCCAGGAAAACACTTTGAAAATTTCTTGATAAAGTGGGAAATGGCTCAGTAATCACTTACTAATAAAAAAATAATGATTTTTAAAATTCAGACATTCCCCAAATCATGAGTTTGATTCAAAATGATGACTGGAGAGACCAAGGAAGAACTGCAGATTTCCTCCTGGTCAAAATGACAACCCAAACCAGAGTCTAAGTTTGAGGGGTAGCATAAAGTTCAGGCAAAGTAGTCCAGACACAAACATTTGATTGAAAATAGACAAGATTATTTAAAAAGACCCAAACTGAAAAATACAGATAACTCAGGATTCCTTCAGGAAATTCTCTCAAATCCCCAACTACCTTTTCTCCTTACTTAAAATACAGTATCCTTACTACTACTACATGTTGTTATGCTTGATGTGCATCAGTGGGGACAGAAGTGTGCAGAGAATGAGAAATCATACCTGTCTTTCTAACATGTGAGAGTTAGCATGTTTGTAAAAACACTGGAAACTATTTCACTGGTTTACAGAAATGCTCAAAACATTTTGGTGGGAAAGACAATTTATCAGGATTTTGGCTGAGATCCTGCCAAGGCTTTTTAGCGGAAAGAGAAAGGAAGGGTTAAGAAATATATAGTTTGGGGTGAAAGGTCAATTTTATTTTACCATTAAGTCATCTAAATTTTAGTAGAACTTCCTGAAAGAAGTAGTTGCTGCCTTCAGCTGATTTTAGTTACTTTATTCTTAACCATCTCCCAGTTACTGAAGATGACACAGGATTCATTTTCCACAGTTAGACTGACAAAAGATAATTTACCATCCTCCTCCAAATACAGAAGAATTAGATTGCAAAAAATACTTTCTGGGTCATGTTTTCTTGAATGTTAGAAAAGGTTGGGGTTGTTTTGGTTGTGGTTTGGTTTTTGGTTTTTTTTTTTTTTTTTTTTTTTTTTTTTTAATGAACATCTCTTGAATACTGCCACATAATAAGCCTGCCTCCATCTCTCATGCCTTGTCTTGCAGCAGCCTAACACTTAGTATGTCAAAATATCCAGCTAAAACTCATCATTAGTTCCTTCACACACTGATATCAGGTAACATTAAGATGTTAATTCCACCACAGTGAAATCAACATCAGAAATGAGAAAGGATTTTTATGATATGTCTACTTAAACCATCAGAATAATTGATTAAAAACATTTTAATCTTCATCTCATAGCTATAAGATGTATGCAAGTCTTCATTGCACGGAAGCGTAATTAAACTTTGTTTATGGAGCTATACAATGATTAAATATGGCAATTTTTTTGTTATTTGACCAAAATAAAATCTCATGGCATAGACCAAGCTTGAAGGATAGCAGCAAATGCAAGCAGAAGACTTTTCTGTGTTATGTCCAGTGTGAGCATCAGCTGGAGGCAGGGGTTCTGAGCATTTAGGAGTCACTAAATATGCTGCCCTGCCTTCCTTCAAATTAAAATTTAGGAGAGCTTCCTGTAAATATTGGCTGCTGTTTTGCAAGCATGCTGTATTTTAGGAGTGAGGCAGAAGAAACCAGTTTTCAATGCAAAGCAGCAGCACTTCAGAAGAGAAAGGAAAGTCAATGCAATTACTTGGGCACGGCGTGAGCCCCGCAGTAGGTTGAGGAGATGCCGATATCCGCGGATTTCCGCGCGCGCTCGATCACCCGGAGCATTTTGAGCTCGGTTTCCAGGCTGAGCCCGTAGCCACTCTTGCACTCCACCAGCGTGGATCCTGCTCTCAGCATGCGGCCCAGGCGCTGCTGCAGCGTGGCCAGCAGCTCGTCCTCCGTGGCCTTCCGAGTGTGCTCCACGGTAAAGTGGATCCCTCCCCCAGCCTGGTGGATCTCCATGTAGGATGCACCTGCCAGCTTGGGTTAAAGCAAAGGAAACAAAAACCACCCCCATACAATTAGCTATGAACAGTGTGTTTTCCATCCAAGAGATACTGGAAAGTGCCTTGAGGTCTCTTTGCAGTGAGAGAGACAAAGAGTGAGAAAAAAATCCCCATTCATTCTTCCTCCCTCCCCCTTTTCTTCTCTCTCCCTTCCACTTAAGTGAAGAAATGTTGTAAGAAGCGGCATAAAGAGAATTACTCTGAAGATTTGCTTTCCCCCAAGTCCAAGGGGAAAACCAATCTCCAGCTCGAAATTCCTTTATGTGGAAAAGAACAAGGAAGGAAAAAATCAAGACTTAGATGGTAATAGAAGGTGGCACTCCTGTATTGCTTCAGTTAATGCAGAAATATATCAATGGTGGCTGCAAAGAATGCAGGTACACCCCTCTCTCAGTATTCAAAAATCATCCCTCCTCCCCCAGGTAGATAATCTGACAGAAATTATGTATTTTTCTATAAAAGAAAGATGAGAGTCACTCAGAAGTGGAAACAGTTATGCATTTAAAATTTTCAAAAAGGTGGAAGAAAAATCCATCTGTGTAATTTCATGCTGTTACCTTCATTGCAAACTCATGAACCCTATCACCAGCCCACACTGGATGTGTATGTGCATCTACCAGGCCTAAAGAAAACAAAGTAAATGTACACTTGAGTTAATTCACTGTGTAAGAGTAAATATTATGAACATGCAAGCAAATTAAATAGAAAGCAGAAGCTCCCCTAAAAAGTCTCTATTGGTTAGAGGAAAAAAAAATCCAACCAGCCAAATATCTATGATTTTCTTCAGAGGCTATTCATTTTCTTTACATTTTTTTTAGGTCTGACACCTTAGGCAAAATGTCTCCAGGTAAATGCATCTCTTGCTGAGTTTAATATTTTGGTAAAGTTTTCAAACTGTGGAAGAAAGGATAAATAACAGACTTTGAAAGAGTTCATTAGACTTTAAGCCTGTACTCTTTCAAAAAAGGCAAACTGCTTAGGCTGGGCTTAGCACACTACACTTCCTCTAGCAAGACTGACAACAGTGGGAGCCTTTTCTACAAGCTCTGAAACTGCCACTGCTGAATGGCAAGGCCACCGTAAGAGAAACAGGTCTGACAGCTCATGTACTAACACCACTTGGATAATTTAACACCAATAGACTTGCTCATCTTTTGGGGATTTTTTATCAGACAAAGTTGCAGAATTTGTGACTTAAATCCCTTTTGCCTCCAAACAGCTGTGGGCAGGATGGACAGACTGTGGCTAAATGGCTGATGGGCTGAGAGAGTACAGAAAAGAGCAGTGAATCTGAAGAGTCACTCTGTGGGTCAGCTACATTCCTGTTGTGATCTACGATACAGAGGAACAGATCTACAGACAAAACAAGAGAAGAAAGAGCTCCACCATGAAGCCCAAAAGAACCCTTGAATATCTCCAGTGAGGGAGACTCCACGGCCTCTCTGGGCAGCCTGTTCCAGTGCTAAGTCACCTGCACAGTAAAGAAGTTTTTCCTCATGTTTAGGTGGAGCTTCCTGTGCATCAGTTTCTGCCCATTGTCTTTTGTCCTATTGCTTGGCAGCACTGAGCAGAGCCTGGAAACATCCTCTTGTCATCCCCCACTTCAGATTTTGATGAGGTCCCCTTTCAGTTGCCTCTTCTTGAGGTTGAACAGACCAAACTCTCTCAGTCTCTCCTCATAAGAGAGATGCTTTGAACCCTTCATAATCTCTATAGCCCTCCACTGGACCCACTCCAGCAGCTCCATGTCTCTCTTGTACTGTGAAGCCCAGAAGTGGACACAGCATTCCAGATGTGTCTCACCAGGGCTGAGCAGAGTACCAGGATCATGTCCCTTGACCTGCATGTCCCTGGCAGTGCTGTTCCTTTGTATCACAAAAATACACCTACCTGGCAACACGCACTTCCCAGAGCAGTCAATTATCCTTTCAAACGTTGCTTCTGAAAACTGATTGCGAATAACATCTGCCTGGCCCACAGCTTTGATACAACCATCCCTGCAAAACACAGACAATGAACAAAGAACGTGTGAGCCTGTTTAAAAGTCAAGTGCTCGACGACAGAGCTCCCGGAACAATAGCGGCAGGACCTTCAGGAGGACTGAAGATGCACATGTGGAGGTGGTTCGCTCATGTTACAGATACACAGCAAACACTGGGGTAATGCCATGTGTTTCAAGCTGTTTGCCGTAACGCTTTTCCTCTGCTTAGATCCCTCTGGATGACACCTTGGTACTGTTCTGCTCTAATTCCCGCTAGGTAACACCGCTTTCCTTCTGCGGATCAGCGAGCACACAGCACCTACCGCAGGGCACTCGTCCCCTCACTCAAATCCAAATGCCATCGCCTGGACCTGGATCACGCCCCGGGAAGCCACAGCCCCTTTGGGACTGTTCTCCCAGTGGAGTGTGAGGATGGTACCGGGAAGCCTGGACTGCGCTTGGGGGATGCCTCCCACCCTGCCCCCGGACCCCAGCCGTGCCAAGGCAGAGCCCCGTGCCGAAGCCGAGCCCGCCGGGCCCCGCCGGCCCCTCACTCACAGCCCCACCACCAGGCTGGCGGCCCGCAGCACGCCCAGGCTGGCAGCGCCGTCCCGCCGCAGGAAGGGCTCTCGCCGGCCGCAGACCAGCACCAGCTGCTCGGCGTTCTCCAGCAGCAGCCGGTGCCGCTGCCGGCCCGCCATGGCCGCGGCCCCCGACTGCCGGGCCCGCTGGGCTCAAAGTCCCGGGGCGGCGCGGCCCTCCCGCCCCCCGGCCTGCCCCGCCCGCCGGCTCCGAGCCGGCCCCGGCCCTGCCCGCCGGCTCTGCCCTGACTGCCGCAGCCCGCTCCAGGCGCGGGATGCTCCGCTGGATTCGGTCCAGGATAACGTGACAACTCCCAAGCACTGGGTTTTCCAGCTGGGGCTTCCCGGAGATCTCAATCCTCACAGCACCACCTGGAGATTTCCCTTTGCCAAGAAAATAAGAGCCAATGGTTTGGGAGCGCCTGTTTGCCCACCGGCGCCCTCCCCGGCGTCCATCCCCTCTCCAGCATCCATCATTTTGCCCGCGCCAACCACCTTGCCCGCATCCCAGCAACAACCCCCGAGGGACCACAGCACCTCCCACCGCGCCAGATGTTCAGGCACACATTCCTTTATCCAGGCCGATATTAATTTATCCGATTCCAACAACGAAATGTTCGTGCGATTCTGCTGCCCCCTGCAGAACGAGGGATGGGAGAATCAGAGAGGAAATACTTGCTCCCAACAGGGATTTTTTTGTTTTCTTCTCTTCGCAGATTCACAGCATCTATAGGACTCCAGTATTCCCCAGCTGGAAAATGGAGTGTCTTTCTAAACAAGTGGTCCATCAAACACTTCTCCCAGGGTGGCAATCTTCTTTAGACACCTTCTTTTCTTTTAGAAAGAGAATCTTCTAAATCTCTTACAAGAGATTGTAAATGCTTGTAACACATCTATGTGCATATACACATATACACATTCAGCAGAAACAGTTGGTTATGTTGGCTCTTTGAATGAGCCTTTCTGATGAGGTCTTGTTTGCAAATGAGGCAAGATTTGCATCTAAAGGCCAGTAATTTGTATTTAATAACAAACCTGAAAAGTGAGTAAAGCTACAATAGAGTTGGGTGTTACCTTGTGATGCTTCTCCACTGGCATAATGCTGCACCATGACACAGCCTTCGTCTTCCTCCTGAACTCTCACTTAGGCCTAAACGCAGAGAAGATTGACAGGAGAGCTGGTAGAGGATGCTTTACCACTCCCAGGAGTTCCTGCTGCTGACCGTGGTGCTCCCCAGCAGTATCACAATATGTTTGAAAGCAGAAATCACAGAAAAACCTGGCAACAGCATCATAACAAGCGCAGAAGGACATCCCGTTGTGGGGAATGCCTAAGCAGCGGTGGTGGGCTGAGAGCTGCTGTGTCAGGAATGAAACACAGCATGTTGCAGTGGAGGAGGGAAAAGGAAAGATCAACACACCTGTGAGCTGTGTTGTTACACTTTAAAAGAAAAAAAAAAACAGTTTTGTGCTCTAGGCTTCTCCAAGATTCAAGGTTACATCCTGATTTAAAACCTGAGAATTGGTGAAGATTTTATGATTAGTAAGCTAGGAGTGTATTTTGTTCTAAGACTAAAATTCTGTTTGCAGAAAAATTACAGATGTGCTTGTGTATTTCTATATGCCCTGGTTCTTTTCTGGTGAAGAATGTAATAGATCAGTATAAGAAAAAAGGTCAATCCACTGCAGTCAGGTTTCTGACATGCTGTGCCCCATCTATTTTTAAGAATACTGCCTAGAAAAGTAAGTGCAGGAATGGTTTCCAGGTTGCATCCTCAGGAAATTCTAGAGTTTGATTCACACAGTACAGATTCTAAATACTCGGCTGTATTTTTAAAATGTTAGCAGAATTCACTGGATGTAAACAGAGGACTCGAGGGTGCTAAAGGAACCCTGCAAAAATTTCTTAAATTTAGAGCTTTTAAACCACCTTAAAGTTCCAGTGAAAGTTCTTTTTGAAAATCATTTTTAAATGTGGCATTTTCAATGGGAGAAAAATATCCCAGGAAAAGTAGAGATAAAAAAGTTGAGTATCAGGTTATTGATTTAAGGGATTTCATCTCTTCTTGCTGGTGCTTTACATGAGAATGAAATGCTTATTCCTCCAGGACACATTTCCAAATACACTGTCAGAGCTACATTAGAATGTCTGTTCTTGTAAACTACTTGTAATTAAAAATTAAAAGCCCAAATCTAGAGATGAGTCTCAAATCAAATATTGGCTACATTTTCCTTATATTTGTAGATTAGTTTTTTTCATCCACTAACCAGATCTTTCCAATAATACACATAGCATGATGAAGTGTCCTGAAAGGGGACACTATGCATGCCTTAACACAAGTTAATTACAAGTGAAATTTACTGATTGCTATTTCCCTGTTTACAAAAGCAGCAGAGGTCAGTAAACCCTCAGGATCTAACACAGAAAATGCATCACTTGGATGAAAGTGACTTGCAAATGTGGACTAGATCCAAACTAAATTGCCAATCTGTTACGTACCTTTGACTTCCCTCATGTCGGATTGAGCTTAACATCACATTTGCAAATACTTCTTGCATAGTTTTACCAAAGTAAAAGTGAATTCTGCATTTTATTTTTTCTGTGTAGAACCTTGCACCTCTCAAACCATGGAAACACTGCATTTGCTCAGATGAGCTTTCTGAATCTTCTGTTCCCAGATCTGTCTTTGGCAAACTCCACAGCGGCCCAGGGAGGGGGAGACCTTTTGGAGGGACACCACCATTTGCCTCAGGGGACAGTTTGGTTCTCCCTGAGCACTCTCCCTGAGTGCAACCTTGCCAACCTATGTGCCTTGGTTGCCTTTTCATAAACTGCAGCTAAGGAAAAGGAGAGCTTGTGTGCACCTGGTACAATTCCAGCATCGGGGCTTATGGCCAAAGCTTGTCCTTCTTCGCAGACTGTGAGCTGCACAATACAGAACTGGAGTTTGCAGCATTTTTTCTCTTAGCAATGATGAGGATTTAGGGTCTTCTCAGGTAGGTTGTGTACTCTTTTTTTGCATACACCTAGGAATGGGAAAGTTTCCAAGTAAAAAATAAACAGCGAACAACCTAATACCCAAACGAGAAACACAAAAATAAGCTCAAAACTACATGTGGTATGTCATGCCTTACTACTTCTAGGCTCTTTTTGACCACCTTTTCACCATATTTAATAAGTGGCTTTGCAGGATGTAGTCTTTTCCCGAGTGTCCTGCTACTTTATCTCTAATTTCTTTTATCCTATAAACAATTGGAACAAATTAAACACGTGAAAGCAATTTTTCTTTTTAGTTACTTTATGTACCTTGTATTTAACACGTAAAATCCCAAGCCCTTTTATTTTTGTCTTTAATACACACCTAAGTGAATGTTCCCAGTTCTTTTGCCTTTTGGACTTTCTCCAGGGATGAAAAAAATCTGTAATCATGGGGTTTACTCCATATGAACTAAGAACCAGCTCCAATTACTCTGATATTCTCAGAGCACCTTATCTTCACCTGCACTGCAATTCTTTCCCCATCATTTAGGACAAGGATCTAAGTTAAGCACATGTTTAAGTTGTCTGATTATCTGCATGGGTTCTTCCACTGAAATGAATGGAACACTTGATGGTAGCAAAGAGAAACACATGGCTCCATTTTTGCAGTGTAACTAAACTAAGATTAGTTATCAAGTTATGCACCAAGGTATTATTCAGTTAAAGTCTTTGATGCCTGGTGGTGCTATGCAAAAGTAAAATGGTCTGAGTTTGAAGTCTAAACTGTCAAAAAAACCAAATATAACAAAACATCTACAAAGAATATGAAGCTGTGTGAAAGGATCACACCTTTATTGAGGATGAAAACTCAAGACACTCTAAAGCAGCTTATTTGTCTGAAAGATGAGATAAATTACATGAGAAAAACATCTTTGTTTTCTCAGTTCTGAGTTCCTGATTTTCCAAAATTAAGTCCACTTGTCTTCCCTATTATTCATCTTACTGGAGATTTCCAGTTTGGTGTTTCGTGTCGTCTTTTTTTTTTTTGTTACTTTTTTCTAGATAGTGGTTTAATCTAGATATTCACCAGCTGTGTCTGTCTCCTTTGATTCATTTCTAACAGCCCCCAGCAAAACAGATGTGGCTCCTTTCCTGATGATGGGTGCAGGCCGTCTGTCCTGGAATACCAACAGCCCATTTTTAGGAAGTTAGGAAGTATCTGCCACATTAAGGTCATCATGCACAAAATGCTCCCTTGCTTCTTTTCTGCTTTGGCTTGGTTGTTTTTTGGTTTGTTGTTTTTTTTTTTTTTTTTCTTAAAAAGGTTTCTGCTAATTTTAAACTGCTACAGGACTTTCCTTGTGTGAGGATTCTTCCTAGCACAAAAATCAACATTTCACCAACCACCGGTGTCCTACACTGATGAATTCTCACCCTGCAGGAAGGGAATCAGAGGGACTGCTATGAATTATAGGAGGCAGCTCTCTCTCCAAGGCCAAAACATTTTCTTTACCCTCAGGAAAGGAAGTAAGCACCCTGGCTGTACAGCACAACTCCACGCATCCTTCTATAGACACGCCTGTTTAGCTGAGGAACAGTCACATCCATCTCTGCACACAGAAGGGGTTCAGCATAAGCTTGGTCTTCCCAGTTACTCTGAAAAGCTGAAGCTTGGGGAGCTGCCAGTGATGGCCCTCTGCTGATCCAGTGCTCAGGTAATACAAGACAAACACCTCCAGTCCCACTCCCTCACGAGCAAGAGCAGCTTTCAGATCAGTGCCAGCCCACTGCAGACAAGGAGCTGACTTAGACACCAAGGTGACAGTCACAGCTGTTCCTCCCCTGACACGGATCACAGCACTGTGGCACAGTGGCAGCACGGGAAGGGCACTGTTCTGCACCGTGCAGTCCTTAACAGGACCTGCTGCATCGCAAACCAGGGGAGGTGCTTCTTTGCCTTTCATTCCTGCCGCCCCTCAGAACACATCTAGCTGTTCTGAGGTTTCCTAGGCTCGTTGCCAATTTTAAAGTACTCATTTATCTGTACTTTAGCTTAAATAGCTCTTTTCTGCTATTTAAGTACTGATTTTAGCTTAAATAGTAAAGTACTGGTTTTAGCTTAAATAGCTCTTTTCTCTTTCCCAGTGGGACTGCAGGGAAGTTCAGCAGAGCTGTGAAGTTGCCAAAAAGGGTCTGGTTTAAGCAATGAAACACCTGCACAGGTACATCCAAAATGATTTTCACTCTTTATGGAAACTTACATACGTAAATATTAAAGGAACACATGGATAGCTCCAGGGATGACTTCCAACATG